ATTTATACACCTGGGTGGAGAGAGACACTTTGAGAGTAAAGTGTCTCTCCCAAGAACACAACACAATGTCAAAAGCCAGGGCTTGAACCTGGACTGCATGATATGGAGGCGAGGGCACTGACGGTGCGGCCACTGTGAGTGTAAAATGTATAAAAATCAGTAGAGACTGACAACAACACTCACAATATGTCTTGACAGTTTATTGCTCATACAGCAATGTTAAGGGGGAACTTCACGTTTCTCCCACGAATATTGTACGAACTGGATTACTACAATGGTTATACTCCTTCTTAAGTCAATTCCATGAGTGTTTTCTCTGAGTAGGAAAATCTACCAAAGTTACAACCAAATCCAACCTGGTGGGATTTACTTTGCTATGGCTTTTCCACACAAGCAGATTAGTAACTCTTAACGTTACTTACTGCAATTTGTCAAGAAAGCTGTTAAAGTTCCTGTTTTATCGCCCTTTGTAATCCACTTTTACCAGGTATGTTCCACTCACAAGTCGACTAGCAACACCCTTAACGCAATTTAACCATCAAGAGGGTCACAAGTCTTTAAGACAAGTAATTTGATCAACACTTATGGAATTGGCTTTTTACAATATACTGAAAACACTAGTGGGAGCTAGAACGCCCCTCAAAATTATACAAATACAAAATGTGCGAAGCAATGACTCCGCCAAGTTTGACTAATGGCTTGTCAGCCATTTGCAACCTCACTGTTTTAGGTAAATAACTATATATGAAAGTCAATAGCTCATAATCAACATAACTATGGAGAGTAGCGGGAGCGCAACACACTGCTATAGAGGACTGCTTCACTTTGTGAAACATCCCGCAACAAAAACCTTCACTATACCACCAAAGCACATTATATGAAAATAAAGCCTACTTGCTGAAGAGCTTTTCTTTACTAATTAAGCTGGCATCCTGAAATTTAAAGCAAATGAAATGCATGCAAGCATTAACATGTTTTCACTGATTATGGGAGAGAAGCTAGTTGAAAAATGCTTTCCTTCATCCAAGGAACCACAGCAATTGTTAGTTTAAGTCACTGGAAGTCATGCCAAAAATAGGGCTCAAAATGTCCCATTTGAATGTTTGTATTTTTGCACAAAAGGACATGCTGTAGCGGATTAAGGACGGGGGGGGGGAGACCCTAGGGGGACAGGCCCTCCCACAATCTCCTCTCCCCCTGCCACCTGCAAAACCGCCAGAGCTTACATTGTGCTGTCTTGAATATTTCAGCTTCAGTGAGTTTCATAATGCAGTATTCCTTTACAAATTGAGCAAAATAAGAAGGTTCACAAAACCAGCTTCTAAATCTCACTTTCCAGGAACCATTAAAATGTGATATCTATTTCTATTTGTATTATCAGATTATGCAACAACAATCTTTGTCATGGTTGGGTTTTTTAGGTGTGGAGAAAATTGCTTCAAAAATTGTCGTGCATACAGCTTTTGATTGCAGCTTAATAATCACTATGTTACAGTTAACATTATTATGTCAGCCATAGTAATTACTTAACAGGTGTATTGGCAAATAACTGTCATTTCAACAGCAGCATTGGTTTAAACAAAATCAAAATAGTCTAACAAGAATACCTGCGACAAAAGCACGATCTAAATATCCTGATAAAGGAATAGCCCAATAAGCCTTTTTAATGACTATATATATTTTATGAACCTTTGGAAAGCTTGGCTGAGCAACTCAAAAAGCTCTAGTGGAATAGATCTACAAAAATGTTCAGGAGGCATCTTGACACCAGGATTTGAAAATCAGGCATCTAAACACTTCCAGTTTTGCTAATATGTAACTCCAGAGGAGAGTGGTAATGGAACAAAATATTACAAATATTCAAAAGCCAAACCAAACAAACAAGCAAACAAACAAACATGGCAGAATATATAAACATTTCCCGTAGTCCACCAAACCATACAAGGTGAGGTATTAGGGTATAACTAACGTTGTTAAATGAGTTGTATTTTCTGTCTACAAGATTTTGTGTCATATTTGAGCAACTAACTGCAAATAATTATTGTAACAAACTTTATGTACAAAGGTAAAAGAGAACATTCTATTTCTACAAGATACTTGTGAAAAAATTAAAAGTCAACGTTCAAGATTATATTTTGATAATTTCTAGTTGCTAATGAAACCATTTACTAACTTTAATTTATATACATTTTAAAAATAATACATTGAGCCCACACAATGTACATGAAAAGGAATCTTACTTATGCATGAATGTTTGTACAATAGTCTCAAGTGCAACAATTATTACGCAAGTAATATGATACGTTGGACTGATGCTCTTTACTAGGAAAGCAGTTTAACTAGTTTACAGTTGAAAGAATATGCAGAGTGCCTAGTTAAGATACCACCTTGTTCGAAATTGGCTTTGGACAACAGAGCCATTCACCTGTCAGAGTTTCCTGCTCACATCAAACTTGGGGTAGTGCTGATTGGCGATTGACATGCTTGCACCATTGAGGTTCTGAAAGCTCAAAGCTTGTAGGGGAGCTCCTGACTGGAGAAGGGAATTCACGTGGCTTGGTTCCTGAAGATTCAGCTGGTCTACATTTGGAACTACTGTCATGTTAAACATATTACTTTGACTGTTTCTGGAACCGTTCTGAGGCAGCATGTTACTCAAGCTTTGTGGCACAAACTGCATGTTTGACTGCTGTGGGAGCAAGCCAGAGTTCACTTGAGAATTTAAGTTGGTGGTCTGATTCGGCAATGGGTTGCCTGTGCTTTGCAGCAAGTTCCTTATTCCTTGGTCCATGACGCTCTGCTTTAAAGGTGGGTCAGGGTTCCACAGATTGTCACCTTGTATGGGAACCCCTGCCTGTGGACTTGTTTCTGTAGTTGAAAAAGAATGCAAAAAGTTCATATTGCTGTCCCCTTGACTCTCAAACTGAGAATTACCATTTTGGAACCTCATAGGAGGGTTCTGACTGTGAACTGTCCCATTCTGTGGTCTTCTAGGTGGAGCCACAAATGTGACATGGTTTCCTGGAAGCTGGTTGAAGGTATCTGTAGAGCTGAAGGAAGATGCGGAACCACTTATAACTTGAGGTTGACTACTCTGAGTTGCCACACTGTCAGAGAAACTAGGGAATGAACTAGTTGGTTGGGGTAGAGTTGGTGTCACCACCTCCTGTTTGATTTCAATTTCAGGAACTTCCTCTAGTTGGGCAAAACCTGCTTGTTGCAGAAGTGTTGCCATCCTCATGGCCTCAGCTTGTCTCCTATCTGAATCTTGGATCATATCATCGATCAAGTCAGCCACTGTATCATCGGAGACGTTGGGAAATGCTTCCTTCAAAATTGGAAAGAATTGTGAGTGCACAGCATCCTTTTGCTTTTGCATTTGTGAAACAGGCGCTGGAACTCTAAAGTTGCCACCACCTGTAGACGTCATATCAGCCTGCTGCATTTGTGGTATCCTTTCAAAATTCATACCATTGGAATCTCTACCAGTGGGATGATTCTGAGTCTGTTGAGATATGTTCATCATGACAGCATTTGAAGGACCACCGCTGTTTAAATGACTCAGGGTAGGTGCTTTCTGTTGGTAATTTCTCTCACTGGTGGAATTTCCACTGCCAAACATGCAAGGACTGTTGATCCTGCGTATCTTTGAACCCGTAATGCCAAGACCTGTCTCAAGCAAGTCACCTTCTTGATTTATGGAAATTAAGTTTGGCTTTGTGTCACCAGCAAAGTTATCCGTAGGCAGGTTTCCATAACCTCCAGAGGGCACTCTTGGGGGAGGCATATTCTGTATATTGACAAGATTTACAGAGGAGATGCCATTCTCTTCACTGTCCATGGGAATCTCTTCAATTTTGGGCGTAACTAGATTTTGGATGGCTTCATTTGTTTGTAATCCATCGAGGCTGTCACCATTCAGAAGAACTTCAAGGCTTGCATCAGGCAGCTGAGAAATCTCACCTCCAGTTGCCACAAACTTAACAATGTCTCGATCTAATTCTGTCAGTTCAGTAGTGATCAGTTTTGCCCAGTCATCAAACTCATCTTCAAGGGTGCTTGTAGACCCTCCATCACCTGGAACACTGCTTGACCTGGCAATGTTGTACCTGTTGGTTGAACTCCACGAGGTGCTAGTACTAGCTTGACCCCATTGTTCAGCTGTAGTGGTGAATACATCATTTTCTAGACCAGTTACATCACCTGCAGTGGACTTTGGGTAACCAGTGCGTGTGAGGGCCACTGCATCCATCAGTGTTGGTTTTGGGACAAGGTTGTCGGCTGCAACAAAGAACAAATTGAGAGTTAAAATAGCTGATAGTTTTATTAGTACTAGTCCCAGGTATTTGCACTGTAGGTGTACTCAGGGTACAAAATAATGTATTTGGTCTCTCCAGGAGCAAGTGAAGAGTCTGTTGTGGTTAAGTCTGAATACAACCCATGTGGCCCATCAGGCCAGAGCTTATCCCGATTTCTGTCGCATGAAGTGACTAGGAGTATTTCTACTCCCCCCCTGGATGGGATGCCAGTCCATAGCAGGGTTACTCCCAGCATTAGGATCGCCTATACCCATTTATACACCTGGGTGGAGAGAGGCAATGTGAGAGTTAAGTGTCTTGCTCAAGAACACAACACAATGTCCCTGGCCAGTGCTCTAGCCCGGACCAGTAGATCCGGAGATGAGCCCACAAACCATGACGCCTCCCTTAAAAGACACAGCCAAAGTGATGCCCACAATTTTTTATTGCTTTTACTAGGTACTTACAGGTCTCATGCCACTTAGGATAAACCATCACTTGGTCATCGTACTGAGCATCTTTCAATTCACCATTGACATCAGAATCACTTTCCACCTCAGTGATGTAAGCATGAGGATGCATAGCAGGCTTGTCTTCTAACTGGGCCATTCCCAGTACAACACCACGGTGTTCCACTTCACTGAATACAAAATCATACCATTTAGTTAATGGTCTAAGTAAACACTTATTATGATCCTATAAAAATTCACTTTTCATGAATGGCTCACTTGTTACTGATAGAATGCAATAGTGTGACAATTTTCCAGTTTTGGTTTAAACATACCCAAATGGTACATTTTTAGCTGCTTTTCATTTAAGTGTCTACTACTCATCTTCTTTTTTTTTTTAACACAACAGTCATCTTGGTTGCACCTCAAGAACTATTTACTCATAAAAAACTCAACAAGTTCATAGTCTAATAATTTTTGTTAAATAGAAGTCCGTTACTAGTCTAATACTACTGTACTACTAGGCAAAACAAGATTTGAGGCATCTTCTCTGCAAATGCTAACCTGACAATATAATTCAGACACAACATTTGTTTCAGCTCTGGGTTTGTAGGATGTGGAATGAGAGATGCCTTGGTTTGCATCCATACCCAACCACCATTTTTGTTCATCCAGCGATAGTACTTTGTGAGAACTTGGCCCTTTGTCAGAACTGTGGATGAAAGTGGGCATAAGCATTATGATCAGAATGACCATGAATACTTAACATTAACTGCTATAGGTACAGTAGAGAAAGACATTTAAACAATAGAGGACTTTTTCTGTGTTTATATAGCCTCATCTAAGCACAAAGGGGGTTGGGAGAATTTGAGACAGTTATGCAAGGCAGAGACACAGTCAAGGGTTTGCATAACTAAATATTTCTCAAAAATACATGGAAATCTAAAATATCCTGTGCAATATGGTGTTTACATACTCTCATCTTAACACACCTATCAACCAATGAGAGCAAGTGTAGTATCTCAGTTATTTCATAAACTTGTATAGCCAATTTCTTGAATAGTATTTTATCTTTCACGACTAAAATTGCCCTTACATTTTGCATGGTGACCTTGAATCACACCAACATCATTGCCATGGTAGAAATCATAAGCAGATATTCCAACAATGTCTCTCGCAAAGTAATCCATAAATTTGTGGATTCTACCAGAAATAAAACAAAACAAAGGTTAAGTAGACTGAATGAGGCTTCTGCTTCAATTGAAAATCACTTGTCTTGCCCTTGATCATGAGTCCAAGAATATTAACTGTTTTAATAGAGTGCTGTAAAACCAAAACCGCAAAAATCTTACTGGCCAATTAGAGAGGACAAACACAATCTCATTGCACAAAGTGGCCAAAAATGTGTGCGCAAATCACAATTGGTTTTAGTTTTACTTTTAATTAAAACTTAACATAGGCTAAGGCAAATGTGAATTACTTTACATAGTCAACTCAAAACTGCTCTAAATAGACATTGCTGCAAAAAATATGAACATTCAGGTAACTTATAGTCACAATAGGTGAATCATTCAGTCTGGAGATGAATGGAGATGTTTTGTCTTGATCCTTCAATTTTTTTACTAAATATAATTTTCACTTTTGCATATTCTGTTACACTTGCTTACCTCCCCACAAGCATATTTTTAGTATTTTGTACGTCCATTAACCATTTTTTCACAATTTTGTGATCAAAAATACCATCAATAAAAAGAGTTGTGTACGTGTGCATGTAGCTATGTGAACACACTCTACGCATTTATTATCTGCAGCTCCCAAAATAGACAATGAAACTTTGATGTACAACATTTGATGTTTAGATTTATTTTGCCAAGGAGTGAATATAAATGAAGTCAAACAGGAAGCAGGACTGGTTCAGACCTTCCTTCGCAATAAACAATTCTTAGATCCATGTTGACTCGGCTCACAAACATGTTGCACTCCAGTGGTAGCTCATTGATGTTCATTGTGGGAAGAGGTTGTCCGATAGCCACAAAGGCATACTTAGGACCAGGAAGACCTCCGGCAGAATATTTCTTCATTCTTCCCATGCAGTGAATAACCTAAAACAAAAGAGCTCACATTGAATATCTTTCATTATATATGGGTTATTGACCAAACATGAGGTCAAGATGGCTAGATATTGGCCAAGTTCTTTTTTTACGCGTTTATGGACTGAGACAGAGTCCAGGTCCATAAACATGCCAAAAAAAGATAGAGACCAATATTCAGCCATCTTGACCGTAGCGTATAGTTTAGTGTAGCCACTCAGATTGGCTACTTAAATGTAATTCTAACTTTTTTCTCTGTAGATTAGCATGGTGTGTGACCCTAAAAGAAGAAGACTTGACAATACTGGTACTTTCCTTACGGCACTGTATCTTTGCAGTTATGTTGTACAAGGTGGGTTTGACACTGAGGCTATGGATGTATTCCAAGTGTTGCCAATTGATTTAAATCTATGGGGTTAGGGTTAGGGTTATGATTAGATTATGAGCTCGAAATTTCTATCGCGTGATAGTTAAAGAGGGCGCAGCCCTTGTCTATCACTTGATAGAAATCTCGAGCTCATAATCTAATTCTTTAATACATGTACAAACCCAATTCTTAATCAATGAGCGCACATATTTTCTTTGGGCTATTTTAAACATGTTAACTAACCTTGAACCCAGAGGATTTTGTGTAGGATCCTCCTCGTCTTACAAGGGTGCACTTCATTCGTAGAAAGAACGATTTGGGTCTCTCTTTATTAGGAAGCTCTGCCTCTTCAGTGAAAGCTGCACAAAGCACAAAAACTATCAGGTAAGGATTGACCAAAACATTTTAGCTTTGGACTTCTTGTGATATTACCTTTTAAAAGCTATTTTTACTCTGAAAATAACCCTCTCTCCCTTCGTCCCTTCAGCAGTCTTCAGCAGCCCTCTACTAGTTAACATCTATACTATATAACAAACAGTGTAGTCACCCCTTACTAAAGATTAATATCGGAAAGCCACAAAAAAATGTCTATTATATTTAGGAGATTGCATTGGGAAACACATGGAAGTTGCAAGGATCCCAGGTGTGGGTCAGGGAACCAGCATTATTAAGTTGCGATGAGTGCCGTGCATGTCAGATTTGCCTGTCCCCACCCATGGGGGTAAATTTTCAAACCACTGCAAACAAATCCTGGCAGGTAAATCTGCAAAGACCCAGCTTCCTTTATGTGCTGAAGGGAAGAAGCAATCCTGAGGGCTTCTTCACCCTACAGAAATCATGATAAGTTCTAGTTGAAAGAGTAAATTTTACCTGGCTACAGCATGCAATCAAAGGGGATAAACAAAGTTATCACTGGCATGCATCCTTTAGTTCTGCTTACAGTAACTGTCAAATGCAAGTTGACACTTGATACTTACACCTAATCATACCATTCTGGTAGGCAAATCAGGTGAGTTTGGTACCCATGGCGTGACCGAACCAGCCTAATGTGCTGCCAAGCATACCAGAAAGGTACAATAAGGTATTTACAGTGTACCATATCCAGATTCGGCCAAGGGACAATATTGCAGCCATATCAGGTCAGTGGCTTGATATCACAGGATATCAGGACAGCAGACACAGCTTTTGATTGGTTAATTGTGAATTTGGGTACCATAATCGTGAGAATCAAGTACTGAGTAATGGAACGAGTATCAAGACTCAATTCACTCAAAATGCGACTCGATTCTTGACACTCGATTCACACAACAGTGCTAATCTTAACTCACCTTGCTCATTTCCAAAGAAAGGAATATCATCTGTGTATCTCCCAGCAGCTGCCTCATTATTGGGATTTTCTAATTCTTCCTTTCCAGCCTCCAAAACATTGGACAAATCCTGCTGATCCTCAGGGTGAATATAACAGTACATACTGCTTCCTGTCAGCTCCACCTATAATGGAACGAAAGGGTATCACATGAGCAAACATTTCACTGTAGTTCTGGGTACACGTGGCCTCAGTCATGGGATGTCTTTCTTCACATCCTCTGGGAGAAAGGCATTTGAAATTTGACCGAAAAGATTCTACTCCAATGATGACCCTATGGTAGCTCTTCAGAGATCTAAGCCCACAACTGTCTCATGAACACTTTGTGGACATCCGTTGAGCTACTAAGCCACCCAAAATTCATCACCTGTTAAGACACTGCAAAGGCTGATCACTGTGACTGCTGATTGCTTATTGTTATATTATAAGCAAAAGTGCACATGTTTCATTGATTCATTTGTCAATCAGTTTGGTGATGAGCACAATAGAAATCATCAACCAGTTGTATAACAATCATTTTTAAGGGAGTATCACGGATAGAAACTATCTTTGGTACATCAAAAGCTCAAGATACATGTAACATAAAATTGTCATGACATGCAATCCTGGTCCTTGGGATACTTAGACTTTTGCCAACATAACATTATGGTCTTTCTGTCCACCTCCCCCTCCCCACCCCCGATACAATGTAGATTGTATAGATTATAGCTTTTGATAGTTTTTGCTCTCCTGACAAAAGATGTGTAACAGGTAGCCACATATTTTTGAGCCAGAAGTAACCATCTCCTTCTGTCTTTTCAGTTTGCATCAACTATGCCTTTTCCTGCCTTCTGCCCAGAACTCTCAATGGTAAATGTGCTTTGCATAGGATTTTTGGATCTTAAATTGTTAAGTACACTGTATCCATCAGGCACCTAGAAACTGGTGTCCAACAAGGTCTATGTTTAGACAAGTGCACTGCCAATCTCCCTGTCTATCATCTATGACACTCACCTGTGACAGTCCAAGATGCACAGACACTGTCTCTGAAACATAAAGGACTTTTGCATCGCTGGAGAGAACAAAGAGGAATCCATCCAGTGCCTGAAGCCAAACAAACATTTTGTATGTGTAAGTGGAACTTATAAAGATGCTACAGACTTTTTGCAATCATTTTTGCCTTGGCAATAATTTGGAAATTGATTCACCATTTCTCATGAAAAAGTAAAAAGGTTGCCACTCTTAAGTCTACCACCTAAAACTGAATCAACCTGGATGGGATGCCAGTCCAATGCAGGGTTACCCCCCAGCATTAAATTCACTGGTACCCATTTATACACCTGGATGGAGAGAGGCACTGTGAGAGTAAAGTGTCTCGCCCGAGGACACAACACAATGTCCCTAGCCAGGGCTTGAACCCGGACCACTTGATACAGAGGAGTGTGCACTAACTATGACGCCACAGCACCTCTGACAAATATTGTAAGGAAAATGTATCATTTGCTACAAAAAAACAATCATTTGGGCAATTTTAGTTCTGGTATATCTGCACTGACCTGTAACAAAAAGATACCACTGTTGGCTGCCAGGTCACTAAAGCTCGTGCTACTCTGATTGTATGGAACAACTGAAGCTGAAAACAGAATAAATAAGTTAACATAAACATATTAAATATCAATAAAGACATTCTAAGTCATCAGCATGAACTAATAAAATGTTTAACACTGATATCATAAGCGCTTAAAGCTTTCTTATTTGAAAGGGTTTCATACAGAGACATTAGAGTGAATCAAAACTTTCTTGAACAGCATAAAACAGCACAACATGAAAATATAGTGTACTCCATCTAAGGGGTTCATCCAAAGACTTGAAAAGTCGGAACTGCTTTGTATGGTATAATAACTGCAATACTTCATAAAATGCTGCTCAATAGCTTTCATTTAAATGTCTACATTAGGGTTTCTTCAGCTGACTTCATTTACAAGGTTAACAAATGCTTTCCATCTCTTAAATCTTACCAGCTGCAGAAGTACTGCTAGTCGGTGGCGGTGAAGAAATGGAGGATGGCGGAGAGGGACTTCCAGGACTTCCAAAATGAACATCTGAATAAACAAAAAGAAGGTCAGCCATGTTAGGGTTATTCCTGGGTTAAATAATTTTAACCCAGTGATTTGACAGCAGTAACTGTCAACCCTGCCTTACTGCATGAAAATATTTGCCCAGAGAGACAAGGAGAAAACCAGCTGAAAGTGAAAGAGCCCTTGATATTAAATTTTAAGGTTCCTCCAGAAAAAAAAAAATGATGGGTCTTTTTCCCAACATCTCACATGCGGTTTAATATTTCATTTTCATTTTTTTGGAAAATGTTACCTTCACTAATGAACCCTAATTTGGTTGAAAAAAAGAAAATTTGGCAAATGTAGCCCCACAAAGGTTTGGAGTAACCTCAAGGCAATACCTACATGAGGCCAAGAAAAGACACATCACCAGTATGTATATCTTCGCTGTCAGATATCTCTTGATTGGGAGAACTGATTGCATTAAGTAAGACATCAGTTGAAATCAAAGCTACATGTAGACTCTTAGCCTGGCTCAGAGATAAGTATGGATGACAGTATCTCTTGTTGTGTCATTGATAGCCTACGAGGTGAAGGAAATTTATTTACTTATTTATTTATTCTATTTATTCATTTACTTACCTCCATCTGCATCAGACCCGGGTGAATTTGAGGACTCTGACAAGAGGGAGCTAGTCGACCCCAGACGATAACGTTTACCTGTTTAAGTTAAGTTAATGAGAAGTTAGCATGCTGAAATAACATACTAAGGCCACATTTGAGGGTTTCAACTCATGTTTTGAATGTCAAGAGGTAGGTTTTTACACAAGTCATTTACCTCAAAGCCCTATTGCCTTGAATTTTGTTTTATGCCACATACAAATGCTGAAATTGAATAAGGGAACCCTTTTTCTACAAATTGAGTATACTTTTTAGGCATAAAATTACCCACATGTAGCCTTTTGTTGTTGTTTGTAGAAAGGCTCTGATTCTAAGTGGAAATCCAAAATCGACTAATGTCCAAACGGCAAATGTCTAACCTCAAATTGCAGTTAGATGTTTGCAGTAAATGAGGATCTTAAGTCTCTAACGACTGGACAACATATTCTATAAAGCATAGAGATGAATTGAGTGTATGGATTTGGGTTACCAGAAAAAGAAGGAAGAATCTTACCTCTTTTTCCAAACTGTTTCATATTCAGGTAACTGATTGTAAGTCGCACGATGGAAGCCTTATCCAGCTGGGATGTAATGGCACTGGGTAATGGCAGGAGTTTGGCCAGCTCATCAAACTGAGCATTTTCCTTGCCACGTCTGCTTCTTGCTGCATCTCGGGATCTCTCTTTGCGAAGTTCAACAACTCTGTAGCAAAGTAATGATTGAGAAAAATATATATTTTTAACCCATTGATGCCTGAACGAAATTACCCGCGACCCACCCCTAATTCCCTGGCGTTTTTTTGGAATATTTCGGAGCGAGCGAAAGCACAAAAATAAACCATATGCACAGTAACCACAGACACAAGATCAGGTTTCAAGACATCGTTTATTTAAAGTTGAATTAATGAAGGGTCAGAATATTAAAAAATATTAGCAAAAAGAACTCAACATGATGTGGAAAACTGATGAGAAAACAAGAAATTATATTATTTCTTTACCGCACGACAAAATGACCTATAGAAGCTGAGAAAATTGACTATGTGAAAATGAGTTAATTATTGACTTTGGAGGACAAAAACGAAACCAAAATACAACAGAATTTCATTCTTGTACTATAACCGCTAACATTTGAGAAAACAACAAAAAATAAAAGCAAAGGACTCATGTAAAATTCAATCCGAAAACAAGAAATTGACTAATTTCTTCGCCGCGCAACGAAAATATTACGACGCTGCAAAAGAAAGATGAAAGTCGTAAATCAAAAAGACGGCAAAAACAAGCGAATTATTTTGAGATCAGTCGTACTTCAACTGTGTTAAATTAGTGACCATTTAGTTCTTTTCTCAGTGGTTCTGTAGTAGCTGAATAAGCCTCCAAAAAATATTTGAACGAAGCGAATAAACTAAATAAACAAAGTGCCTGGACGTCGCCGTAAATTAAATATGCAGAAATCCAGCATGCAAGTTACTGTTC